ATTCAAGAATAATCCGAAAAAGGGGAATTAGCTTAATTATTTCTTCTTTTTTAGCTTCAGCTTAGGTGTTTTGGTGGATGAGGTCCTCAGTTTCGGGAGCAGGATCCCGGCCTTCCTGGGGTTCGTCTCGTGGCGCGCCATGAGGATCCCATGGTGCTTTTTCGGCCGCACGCCGGTTGCGCAGCTCACACAAAACCCCACCACACGACACTCCCGAGAGCAGCTTGTGCAGCGCCAGAGAACGCCTTTTTGGTCCTCAAACCCGGTATAAATGTCGGTCGGGGACTCCAATCCAAGGCGAATCTTCATCTTCCCCTTCATCTTTGGGAGTGTTTTCTTTTGGAGAATCGACTTGGGCTTAGAGGGAACCACAGGCGGTAGGACCCCTCCATTCACTCGTAGCGCCTCTTTCCTCTTTTGATGTTGTTTCCTGGTCTTTGACACCATGGTTTGCAGACCCTAATGCTAAAAAAAACGACTATGTGAATAAGAATACTAGCGGCAGTAAGTACGCTCAGACTAAGTGTTTGGAATCGTTATGTATGGAAATAAATCAATATGGAGGAAAAAATGGACCACTTATCACTTCCGTTCCCTTTTTCAACTCCCAATATCGGGGATCAAAACACGGGTTTGTGTGTATTAGCTTTATCGCATCCATAAAGTCTCGATACAGCGTGGTTTTAAACCGATGTCAAGTAACACCAATAGAGTATAAAAAATCAAAAAAAATGACAATTAAGCAGAGAAAGTTAATATCTTCGAGTCCTTACTAATACACGTTCCTCTTGCATTTGTTGACTCATGTTCCCTCTTAAAAAAAATAAAATTTTGGTTCTTCATTTTGTTCTCTCGCTTTTTTTACCAATTCCTCATATTGTGGAGCCATATCCTTTGCACGTCGCCATGCTTCCTGTTTTTGTTCTTCAGTCAACTTGGATTGGTACTTGTCCGTCATTTTCTGCAGCCTTTGAGGATCTTGTGCCTTGACCGCAAAGTTCAGCATCGATGCCGGCCCAATAAGCTGAAGATCACCATACCGCACGTTGCTGTTCGGGAACTTTTTGTTCTTTTGCGGATCGTTCCACCAGTGGTCCTTCTTCAGAAGTTCATCAGTGTCGAGAAATTGGCTGTCGTCGTCCAGCTCCTCTGGGCTTATGGCCCGGTTCTGCAACTTTTTGACCTCGCCAACGTCAATCCCAGACTTTTCGATCCGTGATATCCAGTAGGAAGTGCTGGTGGGTGATGGGAGAGCCTCGTCCAGGTTGCCATCCAGAGTCCGCGTCGGCTCTTTCCGGTGGAGCTCTTCGGCAAGCAGCTCTTCCTCGTTAGCCTCCGTGGTCAATGGAACGACATTGCAGGCCAGCAAACCCGTGCTTCCAAAAGCCGTGAATTTAACGTCTCGACCCTTCTTCAGGAGGGTCTTGCGATGGGAGTAGAGAATCACGTTTTCGTCAGCGTCTTTAAGGACATAGCGTACGCCGTCCTTCCCGTGAATGATGCCCTGATTCTCCTGAGCAGACCACGCGACGAGTGTGCCCTCGAGCCACTCGACGCCATGCGGCTCCACCGCCGCGCGGTCCGCCCCTTCTCTCCCGGCCCCCTCGCCCACCTCCGCGATCGTAGCGCCTGAGGACCCATCCGTCGGGGGTTTCCACGTCGAACTATGGGGAACCCGATCCAACAACGGCTTAATCTCCATCAGGGAGGAGGCCGGGGTTGACAGAATATTCACCTCCGCCACGTAGCGCGGGCGCGGCGGGTTCACGCGGAAGGTCACCACCGCACCGCGGATGGCATGGCTCGACGACTCCACCAGCTGGGTGAATACCGCGGCGGAGGGGATGTAAAAGGTGGGGCCATTCCCACACTCAATCGTCCCTTGGCCCCCACTCCAGCGGGTAATCACGCCGTACAGGAGGGGGCCCTTTTCCCCCGCGGTCGAACAGCCCGGGGCCTGATCTGGAGGTTGCGCGGAGGGGCCGTCTGGGCTGCCGGCCCCCCATCGAGGCTCGGCTTCTCTTTCGGCCTCGTCGGTGTAGAACGTCCCGAGCTGTCGGCGTCGTTTTTCGAGTTGTTGGGCTTTCTTCTTCGCGGCGGAGGCCTCCTCGATCGAGGCGGTGCTCGCGTCAAAGTCAAAATTGCCCTGGACAAGGATGGCCTCGGCGAAGGTCTTGCCGGGGTGTGTGGAGTAGGCCACCTTGGTGAAGACGACGGGGCGGTTTACCAGGGATTGGGAGGTGGGCAAGGCGCTTTGGAAGCTGTAGACGTTGCGAATGATGCTGGCCTTGGTGGTGTTGGACAGGTCCAACAGCGGCGCATCGTTGGGTATCTCACGAAGCCCCTCTAGGATGACACCGCTGCGATGAATCGCAGACCATACCAATACGACCCCCATTACTTCCTCAGCTACGACCTTACGCTGTGGTAAGCTCTTTTGCGCCTTCTCGATGCGCTGCTCGATCACCTCCTGCGCTTTCTTGGAGCTCCCAAGCTCCTGCTTGAGCTTCAAAAACTCATTAACATCTCTGGAAAAGATCCGACAGATGCGCATATCCTTGAAATTTTTCGTTGGTGGGACAGGCTCTTCATTTACCAGCGGCCCGCTCAGCCGTACCAGCTGATTAGATGAGATACTATTGAGGTCGATAGTAATTTTATTTGCATATTGCACCACCTTTGGTTCCTTTATATCTTGCAATTCGACCCCTGACTCATTTGACAGGGCAGATGTGGTCGGTTCTACCTCATTTGACGAAGCAAACATGTTCAAAAAGTCGAGCGGCGGCTTCCGATCATAGCTACGGGCTGTGATGAGTTCCGTACGTGAACGAATGATCACGCAGTCTCCTGCATGGGGATCCTCGGTGACGTCAAAGGTAGCTATAGACCCTTCTAGCGACCGAAGCAGCGTGGGGAGTACCGTTTCGAAGGCCCGTGTGCTGGGAATAACATATTCTTGTCCGGTCTTTTCCTCCACAATGACACCCTGACGATCAAACGAATTCCATGTTTTTATCCTGCCGATGCGCTGGCGTGGCTTGGGTGAATTTTCCTTTGCCGTGGTAGAGATTGTTCGGCGATAAGTCCCTGTAAGCAAAGGCACTCTTGCAAGTGGCACTAATTCATACACACGAAGGGTCCATGCCCTTCGGCGCCAAAAGCCCATTTCACTAAAATATTTTGATATATATTTACAAATATGGATTTATTTATTTGCAAGCCCGCTGACAAAGATAAAGGAGAAAACTAGATCTATAAACATATATATATATAGAAGGATAAGAAAAATGCATATATATAATTTTAAATACCACACTTTTTTAGACTTCATTTTTCTCATATTCAACCTGCCTTAGAATATTACCAACATAGAATCGTAGTGATTTTCTTAGACTATTTTTGTAGGGGTATATGAATATATATATATATATATATATATTCCTCATTTGGTATATTTAACACAAACACTCGTATAGATTAATGTGCACAGTTATTTAAGCAATGAGTAATGTGGAAACCTATGAATTCATGATTCTCGTGAATCTGATAATCTTGTGTTTCAATGTTGCAGACAATAACATTTCTGAGATTTATAATTCTTTATGATGATAGAGCCATTATCATTGAATAAAAAACCAAAACGAATAAAGGAAACAAAAAACTTTACATCAGACTACCATTTTCCAATTATCGTTTTCTTCAGCTTGTGATAAATTCCTTTATGACGGTCTTTTATAAGAATTAAAGGAAAAAGCACACATTATTGTATCCGTTTCAGACAAAAATTAACAAATAACGCCTCATAACATTATCAATCTATAAAATGGCATACTAAAAAAAGAAAAGTATAAGCAAATACAACTTGAAAACTAAAGTTTTTTACCCAGAGAGGATTCCGAGTTGCAGTAAAGAAAATTATCTCTGATTGGTTTCTTGTTTGGAAATTGTACTTATGATATATTAAATTCAATTCAAGTACCTAGATATTTGGTGTAGAATTTTATCACAATAAAAATGTTTACATACTTTTTGGACTATTCACCAATTTAATAGGCAACAATTTCAGCTAATATATTAAAAATATGTTATAAAAAAAAGTATTGATCTAAAAACTGAGTTAATCTACTTAAAAGAGAAAATATTAAACCTAATAAAAATATCAGAAACATACAACCCCATGTTTATGGTTTTATTCTCACACACACCTCCTACCCCATTCAAACAATCCACCTTGTAATAACTGTATTACTCCCCAAGGATAAGCCCATCGAACCTTGTGAAGAATTTAATAAACACGTTCGATATACATTGCCCCTCTTTGTGTACAAATACAACCCGTTAAGATAATTATCACTAGACCGACTCGCGTTTATGCCCACAAAACGCGCAGAACCTAGCGGTGTCACAAATGTGACGTTTCCCACACTGAATACAAAAAGGCACCAGAGTCCTGCAACGGGGGGTGCGCCCCGGCTGAAACCCCTCGTTATCCACGGGAATCGCAGCCTCGGTGGTGGCTTTTCGGGCGCTTTTCACGATGTTGAGAGAAGCAATCTGTTTGCCTTCTGCACAAGGTAACCCCTTCGGATCTAAATAAATGTTGTTGAGTGGGTTATTAAGGCACTGGGGTGCACTTGAAACTTCTTTGTTCCCCTCTGGTAAGACCTCCGCGACTTTGGCTGGGAAATATGGCTTCTTCTGCGTGGTCACGTGGGTTGTAGAAGGCTGTATTACAAGCGTCGTGTGTAAAGGACGTTGGGCAGGACGCTTGGCAGGCACCTGGACGGAGCTCTCGCGGGTGCTCATGCACTTGTCTGCACGAAAAGCAGCGAAGTTTCCATGGGAAGAAGCAAGAGTATTAGCTTTATCCTCCTCTTCCTTCTTGCGCTCGCAGCGAATCCGTACGGAGTCCCGCCGCCTCTGTTCAGATAGTGCAGTGGTCCTATATATCAGTGGACCTTTCTGACATCTTTGCGCGGATGCTTGACCTGACTGCTTTTTATCAGAAGTAGGATCCACGATAGGCTGCGGTACTGGAAAATCAGACTCCTCCGGAGTTATTTTAGTGGTATCTGGAGGAGACGAAGAGATGTTTTTAGAGTGTGCCAGGGTAGAGGGGAATATTTTACGCTGAGCACATGAGACTTGTGGTTTACAAACTGTGGTAGTTTCTGTATTCTCGGTGAGTGCTGTGGTGAACACGGTGCTAGCTATGTTGCGGTCTAAAGGATTCGCTACGGTACCCACGGAAGCCTTGGCAACGTCCTTTATTGTATTTTGTGTGGAAGCTGTTTTGGGGTCGCTGCCATCACTGCCGCTAATTCTACTGAAATTATTCGAAGTTGCTACGAAAGCAGAACCGCCTAGCAAGATGGGCTTTCCCTTTTCTTCGCCACAGGTTCGAGGGGTGCGGTGAGGGACTCCTACGCTTTTTGAGCCTGTACGGCGTGGAGTGGTACCATACTTCAGGGTTGACACCGCACGAAATTCTTTTCGTGGTCCAGCGGACTCTCTTCTCAAGGGAGATCGCTTTGGCTTTTTATCCAAATTAAACACGATGGGGATTGAGCATGGTGAAACCACGAGATTATCAGGCTTAGATGTAAGTGCTGGTATGGTTGTGATATTGGGATCAAGCCTCCTCATCACAGGATCTATGGAAGGGCTTTGTGATGTGTTCGATACCTTAGCTCTTGGAGTAGGCGTCGAGATGAGCTCCACTGGAGAATCTAGTTTGTGCTCGGAGATGGTACAATTCTGAAGATTAGCATTACCACTTTTAGACTGCATAGATTCAGGACATCTCGCCGCGTCTGTGCGGTCAGGTGTCTCCCCTTTTCTAGAATCCTTCGTGTGGTTCCCACTATGGATGAGAGTGGGAACTACGTGTTTATTAACATCCCGGCCCGTCTCAGTTGTTCCGTTCCGATGTTCCTGAATACCTTCTACCTTCACTGAGGACTTGGGCGACGTTTTTCCCTGGTTTGAACTACCCCTGTTAGAATTCTCTATCAAATGGTTGTTACCATTAATACTTGGTTCCTTGGGCTTCGAATGTGGAGTTTGCTCCACATCAGGTGAAGCGCACCATTTGTATTGCAACGACACGTATGATGGTTTAGAAGTATTTATGGTGTTGTGAATAGAATCAACGGACTGTATGAACTCTTTTTTTTCGAGCGTTGTAGAAATGGTGTCGTCATGTGGCACCCATATGCCCTGTGTAGTGCTCCTGTCTCGACTACTTTGAGGTGGTCTCATGTTACATGATGGGTTTCGGGGCATCGGACTGGAGGACTCCAACATGTCATGGGGAATGATGATTGATAAATTGTTAAATTGTTGTATACCCTGAGACGTAATTGAACGCATAGAGCTCTCTCGCTGTAAAGATCCGTTTAGTTTTTCTCTATTTTCTAGCTGCATCATATTTAAATTTCGAATGGCAGTCTCCCATTCAACAGGGGGATTACGGTCTCGTGACTCAATGCAGCCGCGACGCCGCCGCATGGAAGAAACCGTGGAGCCGCTTTCAGCATGGCAAAAATTTTCTAAATCTGAAGAATGCAACTTTAAATTTTTAAGAGTTACTTCTTCGCTACAAGAAACCATATTCGTGATGCACTAAAACTAAAATAAAGATGAATGAATTGTTTTAATATCTTGTGAAACTATACACTAAATGAAATCACTGTTGTAGGAATAAAAACAGAAAACACGTGAAATAAAATGATATAGTGGGTCCTAATTGCTTCAGATGTGTATATTACCTATATAAAGGTGTAACAAAAAAAAAAACTATAGTGCAGCCTCCACTCAAACCCTTCCTATCAAGCTGTGTGTCTTTTAACTAGTAGCCCTTTACGTCCTTTAGTGTGATGTACTATTTCAATTTTTTTTTGTCGTTGTAAGTATGATATTATGTGTGTAATTTAACAATTAAAATTTCCATACATAATATTAAAATAAACCTTAGGAAGAGAGAATGTTAAACAGTGTAGAAAAATACCGAGCAAAGAGCATTGTAAAGGACAGTAATCAAGATCATTAAAGACGATAGATATCTCAAAAGAAATTTACGGTAACAAAAACGGGGGTACGGGAAAAGGAAATGCAATAGATTAAAATAAAAAAATTACTCAAACGCAGAGAACTATTGCTATGTTCTTATTTATAAGCTTAGTATTATGTAAAGAACCCCTTTTGTAAAGGTGCATGTACTTCTCATCTGCTAACTCTGTGTTCACCAATCCCTTTCAAATGTATGGATATTCCTTCATAAACACAACCACAGTTTGTGGAAGTTATTGACAAAGAAATTGGCATTAAAGGATATAAAAAAGCCTACCACAACGGCAAGGAACAACAACTTAAAGATGGACAATTGCCGCGTGGAGATACGAACCTTCCTTCCTCCCCGCGCACCAACCTCTCTGATAAAATGAATCCTCAGAATCGGTGTCAGAAACGTGTGTATGCAGGTGTCCATGACCTATCGGGTACGTCAACTGCGTCGTGGCGTCATCGGACTTCTCATCCAACAGGCCTGCCCGGACTGGTGGTTTCATCGAAAGGCTGGGGATCTCTTGGACGACCGGAGGCGGCTTCTCCGAAGTTCTTTTCTTAAAAGAGTAGGAGCGAGATCCAAAGGCAACCACCAAACGCCCATCCGGCAGCGCCGCAAGCCCCCCTGTTGGACCAAGCTGATCCTTGAAGCGATGACACCCGTGCTGCGCACCTTTAAAGTCCGTCCCGGCTTCATCAGGAAAGACCAAAAGTCCCCCAGCGGAAGTAGAAGACGTTAATGACCACTCTGCGCTTGATGAATTCTGCGCAGTCGCTTTCGCAAATGCAAAATCGCAAATCTGAGAGGTACCCGCCTCACGATGGAAAAGTGAAAGAGGTTCGGCACACTGCCGGAGGTCCCACTTATAGATGAATTTGGACCCTTTATATCCAGACACGTATACGAGGTATTCATCGCTGGGGTGGGAGCGGATACACGCAGCGCCACTCCCACTCATTCCTCGAAGAAACAAAGAGAGGGTACCACTTCGTATGTCGATCGCCTCTACGACATCACTCTTAAAGTAGCTCGCTAGAACTAGCTGGGACGGTCCGTTAGACAGTGTACACGTGCCGCCGACAGCCGATCCAACCCGCGATCGGTATTTTAGAACCGCGTTGTCGCCTTCATAAAGCACATCATAAAGGCGAACGTGATGCTTATCCTCAAACCCACCGTACCCTCCCGCAATAAGCCCGGTGTGTGGCTTTCCTATCCAAAGCGTGCACTGCGGATCGGCATTGTTTCCACTATCGTTAAAGGCGACGTAGCTGGCCCGTTGGGCACCATCCTCAAGATCCCACAACTGCAATGGCTGGGTCTGGCATGCTGTCAGGAAAGATGCGTTGTCGGTCTTGGACCTTAGCGGATACCAACTAATACTTCTGGCTGGGAAAGGCAGCCTCACTCGAGGTGTGGTATCGGTATCGGGTACGACAAAGGGAACTTCCTGATTGGAATCCTCACAGCGAATCATCACCACACATGACTTGTTAGACGTTGCCAAGAGTTCGTAGGGGTTGTCCGGGGCTGGGAACAGACGTCTAAAGAGGATATCATTGTCACTCATTCTATCTAACTTGACAAAAATTCAGACCGTAAAGATGTAAATCCAACAATGACGCAGAAGAAGAAAAACAATAGTCATAGTTACTTCGTATAGTAATACAATGACCATTAATTATTAATACCGATAAATATATTTTTGCATATGTGCGTGTAAATTGTTCCCTTCCACAAAAGAAGGTATAAAGGAAAACTACACTTTACCGTGCAGAGCACATTTTCAGATCTCATCAAAATCAGAAGGAGTGATAAAAATGGTATTATCTCGCACAGTTGGTTTAATCCTCTTACTACCCTATTCTACGTTTTCTTCTACAGTTGAGTCTAAGAATAAAGCATCGCGTAATTCATCTACTAGTTGTTGCTCGGTTTGAGCCTCATCAGGGTCATCGTCGAAACGACCCTGAGATACGGCAGTAGCGGATTCCTCTATAAATTGCTTTACGTCTCGCATTAATAACCGCATTGTAATCACTTCGGCGTAGAGGGCACAGTAAGCTATTCGAATCGTTTCCTGTTCACTACGTTCTACAGTATACAAGTCCTCCGCAGCGCGGGCTTGTTCAGAAAGTTGCTGCACAACCCTTAAGCTTTCCTTGTAATATGCATGGGAGGGATCCCAAATAGAAACACTCTCACGGTACTTCTCCGCCGCCTGCTCCACTTCCTCCCCGGCCTTCCGCAGACGATCACGAATATGGCTAAAGATGTCCAGCATCGTTTTATGGAAGTCCAAGTCCTTCCTATCAAAACAAGGATCCATACGATTCGCCGTGCCGTCATCGTTTGCCGTCAACACGCCGCGAACCTGCTGGATCAAGGCCTCCAGCAAGGGATGGTAGTCCGATAATCCCGTCTGTGACCCCAATGGAAAGAGGCTGCGCTCACACGATACGGAGCGCGACGGGGTGGGGCTTGTGTCATAACTGACAGAACGCCTCGCCTCCAGGGCCTTTTCCAGTGTCACGGGGTGGTGTGACAGGGAGGCCGTCAGCGGCGTTGGGGTCCCCCATCCGGAGACCTCAGCCCCCTTCCCCGGATCCTCCCAGAGGCCCCCGTCCGTGTCAGGTGCAGGCGCGTCGTCCTCCCTCTCCCCCGGGGCTGCATCAGATGGAACCGGGGTTATTGCACCCGGTGGGGAATCCGGTAGATGCGCGGAGGAGGTCGCTTGATAATGCGCATTGTACCCCTCAAAAGGATCTTGATAGGCTTTGATCGCCGCCATGGGGACGTGGAGGTGGGGATGGTGTTCGGTGTCAACCCCAAACGGGGCATGGCCGGGAGGTTCGGGAAAGTGAGAACCGTTGGAGCTCCCAAGTGGAGGTTGGTCGGCGTCCGTCACCCTCGCAGAGGGTGGGTTGTGGAGGGATTCCATGGAGGCTTTCCACTGCGCATCCGACTGGCTGTTCCATGTCGAGTTCACATAGGGTGGTTCCCGCAGCAAAAAGTTCTGGATGGCCGATTCTAACAACATTACGGACTGTATATTGGGCCGGTGTAGTAAAGAGTCGGTGGCGTGCAAGGCTTTTTCAAATTCACTCATCGCAAGCGCCACCTCGGCCTCGCTCGGAACCGATCGCAAGAAAGTATAGAGCGTGGCATGGGTATTTGATGGGTCATCAGTCAGGGATGCATTTTGTAGCGATGTCTTGAATAAACGAATAATAGGAAAAGACATTACTAGGTATACTATAAAAATAGTAATATATAAGTAACAAATAAAATTGAAAAACGCATTCCACTTGGAGTCACTCACATAATTTTTGGATTCACTTTCTATATAATCTAATTTACATTTATCCATCTCCCCCTAAACAAGCAGCATCCACGCACCTAATAAAAAAAAAGTTATACTGTCTCATCACGCATGTTGTACTATAGGAGGTTCATAAAAAAAAATTAAAAAAAACATAAAAGCTTGCGTTGTTATGAAAGCTAAGTTCAATTTGGT